CGCGCGCGCGGCGGGCGGGGCGTCCCACAATGGTTTCCATGGAGACGGGCGAGCCCCTCGCGTCACGTCCTGCCGGGCAACGGAACCGCGTCCGGGGGAGGAGACCGCGCGAGGAGGGCACATGATCAGCGCCCCGCGGACACGTGCGAAGGCTGCGCGTTGACACACGTGCGTGCGCGCACACACATGTATACACGCACAGAGACACATATACATACACATGCACACAGACACACATACACGCAGTCACACACGCATACATACACACACACACATGCAGACCCACACATATATGCACGCACACACACGCATGCACCCAAACACACACACACACACACACACTTATTTGCATATATACACACGGGAAGGCACAAAGAAAAAATTATCCAATAATTGATTAACTCAATATGAAGAACAACTGTGGAGCCATATATACATGTATGTATATATGTGTGTGTGTGTGTGTGTATGTGTGTGTTATATATATATATATGTGTGTGTGTGTGTGTGTATTTTTTTATTATTATTATTATTATTATTATTATTATTTTTGTCATATTAGAATGAAAATGTCCCTAGTGACAGAGTCATTTTCCCGTATCGCCTTTATTTACCAACTGATAAAACTTGATATTGGGTCAGGTTGATTTTTCCTGTCGAGGCCCCTCGTATTGTGACCCCTAAACCCAGTTGAGGCCTAAATCGGGTGCCGGCGTCCCAAGGGCTCTGGCCCCGCATCCCCTTCCCTGGGGCAGCTCGGGTGCCGAGCCCAGGCCGCCCCGTTGGTGGGCGGTGGACATCAGCGCCGCGGTCGGGCGAGTCCGAGCGTGAAGTGGAGGAGAAGGCAGGGTAGATTCGCCTCTCGTCCTAGACGAGCAGGGCTGGGAGGGACCTCCGGAGGCAGCGTCAGGCTTGTACAGAGAAAACCCTCACTTAAACTCCTCATCAAACAACCGTCGACCCTGCCACAGCACCAGACATCACACCCGACCCTGCCACGGGGAAAGCGGGGGGCCGCGGCGGCGGCCACCGTTGTGCTGCTGCCACCCCTGGTTAACGCACGCTCAACAGATCCACGGAAGAGGCCGTGCCCCTCACGACGGAGAAAGACGACCCCCTCCAGGCTGCACGGGGAGGGGGAGGATTCCTTCCTGCCCTCAAATATTGCATCCGTCTGACCCTAAGTGGAGGGGCAAGAGCTAGGATCGCCAACTCTGAATCTATTCCGGGAGGTTTCTGGAACACCAACGTGCCCGTGACGCGACACAGATGTGCCCGTGTGCATCGGTTATGGATTACAGGGCGTAGATTTTACATCAAGAAAGCGAATGCACACGACTGTTGCATTTTAAAATCCCACCGGACTACCATCTGAATCGGATTCAACATTTAATATTTCTTTTAATGAATGACCTATCGTTTATCTCCCAGATTGGCTCCTGGAGATTTATATCTAATTCCTGGAGGCTCCAGGGCGGTGCTGGAGGGTTGGCAAACCTAAGCAAGACTCTAGCCAAGAGCCCCCAGCTTTAAGTCGCAGCAGGGGTATGAGCACAACCCAGTCAAAATCCCCAACTAGCAAAGCTCAAAAGCACGGTTCTAGCCTAGGGGTGTCAAGCCCATGACCTGGATTTGGCCTGTAGGCTTTGGCCCAGACTGGCTGCAACAGAGGACCTTCCCATAGCAGCACCCACGCACCTGGGGGAGACCCGGCTGGTGCCCGAGCAAAGCCTGCAGCAACACCCAAACGTCTGGTGCCTGAGCAAAACCATGGCTTGTTCCTGCAGCAACACCCAAATGCCAGCTCTCTTCCCCCTGGGTCCCAGACCGGCTGAAGAAGGCAACACAGGTGCTGGAGACAGTATGTGGGGAGCAGCCCTGTGCCATTCATGAGGCCCATGGAGCAGTCCTGCCCCACCTATGCAGCCCATGGGGCCAGACAAGTTTGACACCCCTGTTGTAGACTAACCGGACTAATCAGAGCGCAATGTAACGTGGTCACCGGAAGAAACCCTGTTTGCCAAGCAAGCGGCCCAAACCTGCACCAACTGTAATTCCAAAGAAGTTTGTAATATATTGCAGTAGTCCCGTTTAGAAAATATTGCCCTGGGTGATAAATGGCAGCATCTTCCAGGAACAGCCAGGAGTCTAATCAGCTCTTCCGAATATCAACCCCTACCAATTAAAGGCAGCATCCTTTAGGGAAAAAACACCCCACCTCTTCCATCACCCTCTTTTATGGTTGGGGATGGAAGACTTCTCACCTCAAGTCTTCCCTGAACTGAGACCCAGCCAGCTAGGCTTCACTCACGTCTTCCCCAACACTAGAGTCCACACAGGGAGTGATGCAAGAACAGCTGCTCTGCTTTAAATCCACACTGGGGACAGAGAGGAGATGGTGAGACAGGCCCATGTCTTGCTTAATTGCTATCTTAATCTGAATTAACTGCCTTGTGGAGTCAAGACATACGTAACAGTCAACGCAGCTGCAGCCTGGCAGTCAGTGGACTGGGGACAGATGGCTGGAGCGCCAATGTAATTCTCTAGGACCAAGGAATCAGCACTACTCATAATATTATGGAAGAAGGGTTGTGTTGGAGCGAGGGTAAAATAAGTAGGGTTAAAATTAAGGTAAAGGCTCAGTCTAAGAGATGGCATTAAGCTATCGTGTACCCTGGCACTGGACCAGGAATGAATGACATTTATGACAAATGAACATGGGATCTTACTTCCAAAACAATGCGTCATTTTATTCTGGATGAGATATAACCTGCCTCTTTCAGATACGCATCAGGACAGTATCTCTTTTTCTGTGTCATTCCAATAAATAGACTAGAATCAACATAAGCAACTAGATTTAGTTATTAAATGGAAGGGGCTTTTGTGTCTCCGTCTTGGAAGGGGGTCTGGTGATCAGTGCTGGGATGTTCGTGTTAGGACTAAGACAGGCTACAGACTGGCCTTCAGTTTGCAGGACTCGGCATTTGGAGTACATAATGAAGGACAGAAGGAAACAAACAGCTAGTTGCTTGTACTCTGCACATATAACCATTTGACATAAGCAGTCCTGCATAAATAAATTGTATTTCTTTGCATGTGTACAGCTTAAGTCATGTACGTCTCCAACACAGTAAGAAATCTGATTGAGCTTCCTACATGATAGTCCAAGATGGGAAAATGTAACAGTGCTCAAATAATTTATTCTGGTATAACCCATAGAAAAAATACCACCGTTATACTGCTGAAGAATACAGTATGATGAGGATGTAAACAATCACGTAAAACAAAGAGCTGGTTTTTTTTCTGTATTTGTGGTTTTCCTGTGAATAAAAGCATATTGGATAGACGCCTAGCTGTGAATGTGTATTGGTCACTGGCAAATCGGAGTTCTTAAACTTGAGACGTTAAACTACCAAATGTGAAAAAAGCTGAACTAGATTACATCAAAATGGCGTAGAAGTTTATTTCACTTCTGGCGAACAAAGTCAGGTTCCTCCTGTGTTAGCCAACCAAAACAGTGAGATGAACATATCACAGGACAGTTGTCTTCCTACAGAACTATCCAAGTGGAGTTGGTACATACTGCACCTATTTTCTTGTTATTTTTAACATTTTTTAAATTAAATAAAAATGTTGGATGAAATAATATGTTCCAGTGCTGATAAACTTGAAAGTGTATCTTGATTAGCTTTCAAAGGAAAGTTACTTCATTTCCCAAAGCCTTACTCATTTAAAAGATATATCAATATCCTTGCGTCTTGTATTTATATATTTAAAAAGTTTGGTGCGCTGTCACCCAAAAGTGCATCTATTATACCTCAATAGAGGCTACTATTTAGAAAACAAATGATAAACCCATGTAATTTTCAAGAACCTTGATAACATTTCAGCTCAGTACTGCATTGCATTCAAATATATTAGATAATTCAATGTGACAATTAAGTTACAGACACCCTCCAGGCTTGAGATACATGAACACTGCTCCCATGCATAGAAAACAGTAGTGAAAATGCTAGTGTGGCTAGTACAGCCTGCCCAATTCTCTTCTCCAGCTTTGTGGTCCCCAGTTGGTTGCCAATGGGTTCATCCAATGAGTCCGGACCAGGTCTAATCACCGTGTTAGCTCTGGCACCCAGGGACACCCCCCCAGGCTTGTACCTAGCTAATGTCCAGGGATGCAGCATGTTGCTATCTGACCTCCCTAGCCTGCGACATCAGTGTTTGAGCCCCACAGTTGCACCTTCTCTATCCCCCATAAGACTCTCCCCACAGCTCCAGCTAGGCTATGGGCTGAGTTTCTAATTTAACCCCTTTGGGGACAACATGGCAGGAAAGCAAAGGACATAGAAGGCACAGAGGATTTGTTAATCTGAGCAACAGTTTGTAAAACACTTGAGAATTACAGAGCTGCAAATACAGAAGTCCTAAGATGCACTCTCACATAGTCTGACCTCACCCCTTCTGGGAGCCCACGGCTCATAAGTGCTTCAAGGCTTGGCAGAGTTCGTGCTGCCCCTGCTCCCTGCACGTGTCGATGCAGAGAGCAGAAGCCCATTCTTCGCTGCGCCGAATGCTGAGCCCCAGTCATGCTTGTCCTCCCTATAGGCTGCGGAGGGGCAAAACCATCTCTCCCTGCCAGCAGGCCTGTGGTTGAGATCATCAAAGCTGAGCTCCCTTGACTTCAGTCTAGTTGGCTTTGCACTAATCATATCAAACACCTTTCCCCAGCAACGGCAGCTGTGGAATTCAGCTCAACAAACTGCCCCGAGGCATGTTCAGGCAAGAGTTCACTGAATGCATAGTTAAAAAAAAACCCACAGAGTTCATAAACTGCTGCAGACAGAGCTCACTCTGTGACAAGAACTCCAGTCACTTCTTTGGCATAGGTGATTTCTCCGTTCATGTTCGGTACCACCAATGGCATCTGTGAAAATAATCCCAATACAGTCTTCACAGTGTAAACTCCAGAGAAAGTTACAAAGTGAGCCTTCTTAGCCCTTACCTCCCATGTGGAAGTTTGCCAAAGTGGATATCCTGGAATGAGCGTCAATAGGGAGAATTATTCCAGAATAGCTACTTTGATAAATGTCCAACTGCAAGCAAGGACTCAAGTCCCTTCGTTAAGGCACCTGGTTGTTAAGCACTTGGGTTTAGTGCAAGGCGAGTGCATAGAACTGTAAGTTTTTAATCTTGTAGATATTATTTTGGTGTAAAAACATTAGTAAAAGATTTTTTTTTAAATTCTTTTTGGTATTATCACAGAAAAGAGCCGGATCCATTCTCTTGAACAGAACTACACTGACCTACACTGGCTAATGTGATTGGCATCAGTGAGGCTATACTGATCTACACCAGCAAAGGATTGGGGTTGGAATTTAGGTTGTGAGGCTGGGGAGCAGTGGATAGAGGGTGCCTTAAGGCTTCCCTGATCCTAGCCCACCTCCCCAGGTCAACCCCCTTGGAGATGGCTAGAACAGCCATCTATCTGGCTGCTTTAAGTTATACTAGGCTGTAATGTCTCCAAGCAGTCAGCAACCCAGGACTGGTTTGATGAAGTGGGATGCCAAGCCTTACCCACTTGTCCTCGCTACACCAGCACCTGGCGAGGATCAATGAATTGGGAGCAACAGTGGTTTGATTGTCCTCTCATTCACACGATCATTCATCGGAGGCAACCACTGATGTCAAATGAAGAAAAGGGCCAGATGGAAAGTTCATTGTACCCAACAGGAAACTTCCACAGGTTGTTGTGAGCTCGAGATCAGGCCCTTGACCAGAGGGGAACAGGTCTGAGGATATTCAAGCTGAGCAACAGGGAAACCCCGCCCCGCCCCAATGAGATCTGCTAGACTGGGGGATCATCTCCTTATACCGTGAGTGGAAGGTCCAGTCCCAGAGACATTTCAAGGGTGGGTTGAAATCCTGGCCGTAATAAAAAACAAAGGCAAAATGCCCACTGATTTCAGCAGAAATTCAGCCCGTGTATTACATTTTACGGTTTAAAGATGCTTCTGGCTGTGAACTGCCACTGGCATTACCCACTGCTACGTGCAAGTTCAGCAAAGCAGTCAAACACAACCAACCATATGTGGCTGTGAGCCGGTATAATATTCCTGCCATGAGTTTCCTTGTTTTGACTAAACCTGCCCTCCCTAGACTAGACTGCAAAACAGGAACATATTTCTCCCTTTTGCAGTAAGTTTTAAAAATCATTCTGTATCCTTTTTGAGCTCAAATATCGACTTGACTTAAAAACATGCTCCCGATTTCTTCCCAACTTTGGAGTCATGTGTACAAAGACGGTGTAATACAAAGCAACTCATTCCTGAAAACCCTTAAATAAGGATTTTCCAGAGAACATACACCAATATCTTGCCACCTTACATGACATGATACTAGTATGACTTGATTCCCTTTCATCTGCAGGAGTGTAATCAAGAGTCTACGTGGTTTTTTCTCTCTTGGAGGACTCTGGAGTTGAATACAGTGCCTTTGAGAAAGCCCCAATGATGATGAGGTTAATGACAAGACAGACGCCAATCAAACCAACTGTCTGAGAGAGGGTAGGAAGCGGGAAGGAAGCTCGAAGCCGCTCATGTCGTGAAGCCATGTCCATCATGATGGCCTCCATTTGGAAGTACGTGCCAGCGATTCCACATACGTGGAAGACCTGGTGGCTGTGTCCTGCAACAGAGGCAAGAACTATTTCATGAGAAAGTTACTTCGGGAACACACCCACAAGAGTTAGCAAGCCCAAAGCAACTCCATGTACTGTGTTTCATTCATTTATGTTGCTTCTTATTGCTGGGCTACTAAAGTATGAAAATTGTCCCTTCTGAAACTCCCTGAACCTCAGCCTGCTGCAAGCCTACAGACCTACTGTTTTGGACTGCAATTCCAGTGTGAGTCACTACAAAGTGAGATCATTTGGATGGCAAATGCTCAAAAAACCTTTTAAGTGCTGTTAAGTAATAGTGGTGGCTCAGTTTCTCTTGCCCGTCAATGCTCTGTTAGTGCTCCATTTGCTGGAAGTACATTCTTCTGCATGTGAAAGGACCCCTTTTGTGGTCCTTAAAGACCGTGCAAAGCTTCCTGAAACAACAGGTCTCAGCAAACAGTTTCTTACCCACTTAGGCAAGATTACTTGAGCCCTAGCCCAATGTATCCAGAGGTTCAAACATGAAACCAGTTCTGTGTTCCTTACATATTATAACCCACGCTTGCTGCTCACGCTCCAGTGCATTTACGTGCTGGAAATCAAGACACGAGAATTGCAGGTTTCATCACTCACCGATATAATCAAAGTGCCCTGGTGCAAGTCTCTCCGGCAGATGTGTAGTGAAGATGAAGCAGGTGAGGAAGGCGAATACCACGTGTTGGATGTGGATGGGGATCACGCCTTCTGCACAGCTGTCTTCTGCACACAGGTACAGCTGCAATATTGCAAGGGGAATTACACAGAGGCACCAAGGGAAGGAAAAAGCGAGCTGCAGACCACCTGTAGAAAGGGGGCTGGTGTCTCAGCTGCACCTCTACACTGTGCAGTACCCAGCAGACCATATGCTACTGCTGCCAATTGAAGCTCTTTTGTGGAGTTTGGTCTACCCCATGGCTGGGGGAGAGGTAGGGCTCCTCAACCACACCTGGAACCTCCTTGCTTGGACAAGCAAGTCCTGAGAGTTTGTATGAACCAGGGCTTTCTAGCCATGCCTTGCTGAAGGATGCAACATGTACACCCACAGCCTTTATGTACCAAGGTGATCAGTCTGTGTCACCTTGACTAGTAGTTCCCTTAGCATGACTTCAAGTGCCCGTATGCTCAGGCCAGATGCTAGGACCTGGAGCACTGCAGCAGACCCCAGCAGCAAAGACAGTCTGGTGCAATAAAGTCCATTTCACACAAATTATGGGCCAAATGCTCATGTCATAGAATCATAGACATGAGGGTTGGAAGGGACCTCGGGAGGTCACATCTAATCCAACTCCCTGCTCTTAGAAGGACCAGCCCCAACTACATCATCCCAGACAAGGCTTTGTCAAGCCGGGTCTTAAACACCTCCAAGGATGGAGACTCCACCACCGCTGGGTAGCCTGTTCCAGTGCTTCACCACCCTCCTTGTGAGATTTTTTTCCTAATATCCAACCTCAACTTCCTTGCTGCAGCTTGAGCCCATTGCTCCTTGTCCTGTCCCAGCTCCATCCTCTTTGCAGCCCCCCTGCAGGGAGGTGAAGGCTGCTGTTCAATCCCCTCCCTCTTCTCTTCTGCAGACTCAACAAGCCCAGTTCCCTCAGCCTCTCCCCAGAAGTCATGTGCCTTATGTCCTTGCTCTGGATTTCAATAAGGTCAAATCCCAATCAAGTTTGAGATTTGAGTTTGGATTTGCAAATTGTAGCCAAGTTGCCAACGTGTGGAAAATTTGCCCTGCGTGCAGAAAATAAGGTGCGGGGGAAGACAAATACACACCAAAACTAACCGAGTCGTTTTCCTGATCTCTTTAAAAGCATCTGCATATTTTCCTAAAAGTGCTGAGTCTAACATTAAACCACCCATGATCACTTCACTGCAGCTAGCAGAGGTACCTTGTGGGGACTAGGAAAGTGAGCCTTCACGACCTACCCTGTAGAAAAGCGGGATGCTGTCAAACAGGTAGGGATACACGAATGCCAGCGTGCGAAGGACTTTGCTGAACCTGGGCTGCTCCAGCTCTGGGAACCTGCAGCAAGAAGAAGCTTAGATTGAGCAATCACAGCAAATACATGACCGGCGTTTGCATGTTGTCTAAGGGACTGTGGCTTGCAGAACACGAGGTGAACGTGGGCTTTTTCATAGCCATTGTAATCTGTGCCGGCACTCAGAAAGCTGCTGCTAAATCCATGAAGGCAAGGCTGTAGCTACACCAGAGTTACAGCTGTCCCCAGACTGGTTGAGCTTTTTGTAACTATGACGGCACTGGGCAGAAAGGGATTAAACTGGGTGCAGAGAAGGACACCCCCAAGCAGCTCCTCGCCCACCTTGAAATGGGAAAACCCAAGTGGTCTAATAAAAGGTATCATTTCTGAACCAAGAGTTCTAGATATTTGCATTTCTTTTTTGTCAGACCAGCGCGGCTCCCAAATACATCCCAGGAAAACCCACACACACGCGCAGGAGGCACTAGGACGACGTTCCCTGGCCCGTGCAGCCATGGAGCTAAAACAGCCCTGAGGAGCCAGCCATAAGTACAAGCTGCTTGGAGCAGCTGCCAAAGCCACCCTGAGGGTTTTGTCTGGCTTCTGCCTGGGGCTGAGCAGCTCCTTACTCCGAACCTCTCCTTTCACACCTGTTCCCCTACCTCTCCCCTCCCCTCCCCTGTCCTCCCTTTATCTTCCCATCTAGCCAATTGCCCCCTAACTAAACCTTCACCAGGGTCACTGTGCCGGAGCATCCTACCCCTTCCCCGACTCCATCTGCCTTTCTGGTCTATTAAGACTGTAAACCCATTAGTGCAGAACCTGCCTGCTAGGCCTGCGCGAAGCGGCTAGTATTCGGTTCGGATTCGGCTGATTCAGGGGGCAGCAGTTTGATTCAGCGATTCGAATCACTGTCCCGAATCAATTTGGCTGAATCTCTGAATCACACAGGCCCATCCCCTACCCGCTCTCCCCGCCCTGGCAATGGCTGCCCTGCCCGCCCCAGCTCCCCGCACTTTGAAAGAAAAAAAACCCCCGACTCACCGGG